TTTCCGTCTACCAACTATCGTCCCCTTGACAATGTGACCAGCCTCCAGCCGACAGCTTTAATTAAGCACGACTTAAGAATTTAATAGCTTTTAAGACTTTTTGTACGCCTACATTTTTAAAACGTAGTCTGGAAAGTTTGTCATAGCTTTGGCAATGAATGTGGGATAAAGTAAGTTCTTGTAAAAGTTAAAAAGGTTGTCCCATGACTATATTATACTTATATAGCATAGTTTAATGAGATCAATGTACTTTTACCACAGGTTCGAGTGTACCTATAATAGAAATATTCGAATACAGTATTGAATCAAGTTTTTTTGTCGTATCTTTGATACTTCATATTCCGCCACGCCAGACAATAAATAAAAGCCGAAATTTACCTCGGAAGCGATTTACGATATTTTAAATTTGAGTGTTACCTATGTAATTTGATTTTGTTTTCTTGAAAAGGCTCGACTATATTGCTTTTACTTAATCTTTTGTACATAAATAAGACATACGAAAATATGCTAATGATTTAAAATTATAATTATATTAATATTGTTTTAGAAATATCATGTATGAAACGTATTTATAGACTAGGCCAATGCACCTTTTACAAGCCTCACTCGGCCCACGTTACGGTGCGCCTAGAAGCGTTTATCCATTATACATGCGCACTATTGCTCTGAATAAAAGTCCAGGCGATTTACTTGCATCGCTAGCGTGTAAGCATATTCAATAGGAACATATCTATGAGAAACATTTCTATTTACAAAGATATTTTTTGTTTCAGGTATGTAAAGATTTACACTGGCATTCTGCTGAACCAATTCATTGGAGGTATTGTATTTCATTTTGTTAACACAAACAGGAGTTTTAAGGGTCAGAATACGGAAAAAAAATGTATTAGGAGAAAATGACATCAGTCTTTGTGCATCTCAAATAAAGCACTGACTCTTTTCATCACTAGGTAATCAAAATTCGCTAGAAAGAGACGAAGGCATACTTTTGTTATAACAGTGAATTTACTTCTTATTTATATAATTAATAAGCCCTATTCATGTTTAAAGCTTTATCTAGCACATTTAAAATAACCTTCTAAAAAAAGAAAACCAATATTGACATGTTCCATATTATGTAATGTGTACATGTGGCGTTAAAGTTTTTTTTGTAGTTCTATCGCATTATAATCGCATAAATCGAATATATCTTATTTTCTGGTTAAATTAAACAAGTCTAAATGCGATTGGTTAAAGTAGTTTTTATGTAATCACATCTTAAAAGGAAGCTGTACTTAAGTTTAAGTGAGACATTCGTTTTAAATTGTTCTTATTAGTGCAATGATAGTCGCTTAAAGAAATACGTGTACCCGATTTTAGTTCTTATATTTTGATAATTACGTTCTACAGTTCCTTAAAATCATTTTAGGTTTAATGAATTCGCTCTCAGGTAACAAAGGATCCATTTAGGACGTTCTATTGAATAAGCGAATATTGTAAGGGCGCTTTCGTGGTAATAAAATTAAGCACTACTCCAGCTTCTAAGTACAGGTGAGATACAGGAGCATAAGAAATTCTTTCGCGGATACAATACTATTTATACTTCTTCTACATTATCAATGCTTTTATGGCGTCTTAACATCATACCTAGTCTGTTTTTTACGAAGCGATGGCGAAGAATACAACCTAAAGTGAGATTTCTTTTAAGATTAGTATTAAGTGCATGCTCCTATTTCGCCGTGATTTACTGATCGTTTGTCTTATTTATTTATTAATTATTTTTAATTTAATTACAATAATTAACGGTTTTTACTTATGATGATATAATAACCCAACCTTTGTAATTTAAAAGAATCACTGAGAGGTTATTGCCAGTTCTTCTGGTCCGTTTTACGCCCATGATTTAAAAACTAGCATTAAATGTAAATTTAGAAGCATGTTTTTTCTGACGTTTATTAGTGTACATTAAATTACTACTATTTGTTATGTGAATTTGATTTTTGAACGAATAGAAGATTTTGGGTTTTTTGATATCTGAATTTTAAGGGGCTAGCGCGTACTACCTACTAAATGCGTTATCTAAATGTGCTAACAAATTTCATCAGGCGTTTATTATAATAATCTAACTTTATTATTGTTCAATGCAGTTCATATACTTTTTTAAGATATTTTTAATACATCTTTTTTATTTACTAATACATCATGAAACATTACGATCTGGCCTAACTTCAGACTTATAAGTAATTTAGGTCTAACCTAATTTACTAATAAGGATATTTATATTTTAAGTAAAATATTAAACAAAGAAATGCGACTGGACTTTCAGAAAACGGTCACATTCTTCAACTGAATTAAAAAGTACAGGAACTCAATAATTTTAAACCAAATAACTGATTTGGCAAATAATTAATTAAATTCTTTTCGCTTTTAAATTATTTCTCATTAAGAATCTTGAGACTCCTTATTGATTAAAACTTTTTAATTGGTTGATTTGTGAAGTGAAAGCTATTGAATCTTAATTATTCTAAAGATCGTTGGAAATTCTTTATAATTGTCTCCGACTCTTAATTTTTCCGCTAAAAAGGTCAGTTTCACAGCCATTGTTCTTGGTTCTAAAATATTTTGACTAGCACCAGATGTGGTTATTATTAAAAATATTGCTTTAGCTTACAAACAATTGTCACTGGAGTGTTGAAACTAACTCCTAGAGCGATGAGAACAGAACAAACTGGTGTTGTATTACTTTAAAATTTCGTGAACATAATTAAAATTTTATAGAAATAAGAATGCTAATGAACATTTATTAGTTGAGGTTAATTGCTTGTCTTGCAATAGTGTTGTATATTATAGCTTTGTTACATTATACACTTCTCAGTTCTTTTCTTTTAAGGTTGAATTATCGTTTAATGAATTATAAATGCTGTATACTATATCACTTATTAACTTATTTTAAAATTATTCAGAAGTGTATATTTCTGTATTAGTGTAAATACATTAAAATGATATTACAGGAACAATTCACATAGGCAGGTAATATTATTATTGAGTTTAATCCATCACTTTCATTTCAACAGGCTTTTTACTTGTTTTATTATTTACGCATTTAAAAATCATACAATTCATATTAAAACTTCAAAAGTTTGTTTAGTTATAAAATTATTCAAGAATTACTTTTCATTTATTGTATTATATATTACGTTTTTAAATTATTATATACCTTCTGGTTTGACACATTGTTATGTTACATTATAATCAATCTAAAAACACTATTACGATTGCGTTTTTTTGACATGTTTTCTTTAAATGTTATCTGTTGACATCTACCAAGTTTTTTTTACTATAGGGATATGCCATTTGTATTTATTTTAGCCTCACCATATCCCAGAAAATTGGTAAGGCTTTTCCTTAAAAAATAAAGTGTCCTCTTTATTGCATAACTGGTAAGTGGGTAACGATAGTTGTTACAAAGTGCGCCAATTTTGTCAAATTTATGATATGGCTCGCTGCCTCCGTTTATGGTTTTACAACATATTTATCGTTTTATGACGTAATGGGGTAATACAACCATGATTTTTACTGTTTGATATTATGGTAAGTTATGAAATCGTTTTACGCCCGAACCCAATAATTAATCCACAATATCAGATTGTTTTCAATCTGAGATTGTGGATTCATTATTGGGCATCAGACCGTGACAGTCGATCGATCTCCTATCTGCATCCCAATAACCAAACCCTACGAAGACAATCCACTTTTGGCGACAGATAAAATGTTCTTTGTCGTTTCATTTTACCGAGTTTTCACTCATATTTGATAATCAATGTAAAGAAAATAAAACCGCACAAATAACATTAAAATATACATGTGTATGTTTAAAACATAACAAACAGTTTTTTTTAATTATTAAAAAAACTGGTGTAAGTACTTTTGTCAACTGTCATTTTCATACAAAGGTCTATCCACAGACACCGATACGACCTCCCATGGATAGCTTGTATAGACAGATGGCTATTCCAATCCGTCGATTGGTTATTGGCACACTTTTTACTTCATTTGGATTAAGTTTACTATCTTAGAAGGTGGATTATGGATTGAGATAGGTTATTGGGTTCGGTCGTTAATGGTTTCGATAGGGTTGCCTATAACTTACATGGCAATGTAAAATATATGAAAACCTATAGTGGTAATTTCATGTACTAGAAGAGAATGAACAAGGGTTGAGAAAATTTCAACGGGCTAAAGGAATAACGAAAGATATACACAAAAGCAACATTTTAATAGTCGAACAATATCACACTTGTATTTCCGTTAATACATGCTTTGTTGTTGTACATTTAAAAGTAGTGTTGCCCAAATGCAAGACCAAGACGAGACTTAGGCCAGTCTTGGTATTGGTCTTGCGTCAATACACCTGGTCTTGATCTTGGTCTTGGTATTGCGCTCTCAGTCTTGGTCTTGGTCTTGATCTTGCAGCAAGAGTCTTGCAAGTCTCGCAAGACTTGCAAATACCTATTAGCCTATTGCTATTTATTGAACACGTTAGTTTAGATTAGTTTTATTTATTTAGTAAATCTATTTAAATGTAAATTTATTTAATTATTTAGTAAAGACTATGGTCTTCAGCGATGATTTACTAACTAATAATAATTAATTTGTTTAATAGAATGGAATAGAAGAGTTGTAGAATAAAGACAATCTAAGCAATTTAACATTTATTTAAATAAAAAAATTGCAGTACAGTACACAATAGCATTGACATAATTAACTTCCAGTAGACTTGCAAACGTTATACAAAACGAGTTCGAAAAGTTATAAGTACAAATCAAAGCGTTTCCTTACACAAAAATTCTCCTAATGTACCTATGTAAATACCTATGTATTATTGTATCTACCTATAAATTGGTAAAGAAATGATATGAACGGCTCGCCAACATGCAGATATAAACCCCGAGAGGTTTTTGTTGTGTGGCTAAAACTAAATATGAATATGGTTGTTTTAGAATTTAAAAAAATTGGTTACTTTATATTAATTCTTTTGACCAAGAATTAATACAAAGTAACCACCTGGCTGATTCATCACTTAATCTATTTCTATGTTTTCTAATTACTAACGATGCTTTAGAAAATAATCTCTCAGCAGGTACTGAAGTTGCAGGTATCGAAAGAAAATCACGAGCCATCTTGGATAAAATCGGATATTCCGTCTCATGCGTCCTCCACCACTCTAAAATGTCTTCTGAGCTGGCGGCTCTCGGTTTACTTAGGTACTCCTCCAACTCGTCAATAACTAAGCCTTGAAGACAAGATCCAGATGACGACGTAGAGGGACATGCATACAGTTTCTCAAAGTCTATTACATCTTCATATTCTTCATCCTCACATACTTTGTTTTCATTTCTTGGTAATTCTGGAGATTTAGACACCGAGTGTTGCTGTACGTGTAGACTTTTATATTCTTTATAAAGTTCATTAAATTTGTGCAGGCTTTTTGTTTTAATTTGCTGCCCCCATAATGTAATATCAAAAGTCTGAGCTTTGTGCCTTGGGTCTAAAATTAAAGTTGTACAGTAAATCCAGTTGCTCTTCTTATAATGTTTAAGCATTTTATCTCGGGCTGCTTGGAAACCTAAAATGAGCCTTTCATCCACTTCAGTTCGATTAGGTTTCTCATCTAATTGTTTTACCATGGATTCTATTTTATCAAGCAATAGATTGAATGATACAATGACTAGCGGTAATGTAACATATTTTTCTCCACCAAGTTTCGTTGATAAAAGTTTAAAATTTATTAAAAACTTATGTATTTTTTCAGTATTTGCCATTCAGTTTCTGTAATTTGAAAATCATTCAATTCGGTAACTGAAACGCATAATATGTTAATGCCAGGTCTCACTTTTAAACCAAATCCAATCATATCATGTGTGGAATTCCATCTTGTTGGACAGTCGAGTATAGGATTGAGATTTGATGGCACGCCAACTGCTTCACAAGCAGAATGGAACTTCCTCTTCAATATCTCGCTTCTTTTTATTTTACTGGAAATACTGCGTAATTTTGTAATACCTGTACGTGAGTCAGCAATATTTGGGACATATTCTTCACCTTCCTCAGTTTCGTCTTCATAGTCTTCATACTGCTGTTCTTGTTCTTTATTGTCAGTTTCACTGTGTAATGCTAAGGTCTTTAGTAAATCTTGTACACCAAGGTTCAAAATGTGAGCAAAGCACCGGAAAAGTTGATTGTCTGAATCAAAATGCAGCAGTTGTTTGCCAAGTTCACACATAAATTTGGTATTTGCAGTTGCGTTGTCCACCGTGATACCCTGTATTTTATCAATTATGCCATATTCCAATAAACATTCGTGGAAAATCGTTGCAATATGTCGACCGCGCGATGGTATAAAATCAAGGACTACAGATCGATACTTCCATTCATTGTCTATACAATGAATAGTGACCCCGTAGTAACTCCTACCAGCAATGGACGTCCATCCATCAATGGTAAATGACATTTTACATGAATATTGTTCTAGTCGATTTTTAACATTCGATTGTAGTTCTTCAAATCGCTCTTTGACTTTCCTACTTAGTGTCGACCTTTTAGGAAATATCGTACTCGGGCAAATCGATCGAAAATATTCCTGTGTATCTTCATCATCGAAAAATGAGAAAGGAAGATATTTTTTTACAATCCAATCAACTGTAGCTGTCATGAAGTTGTCACTTCGGTTTTCAGATACTGACTGAAATAAAATATTAAAACATGTGTTAATAATAGTAATAATAGATACCTATTAGAATTTAAAACTATGAGCATAGCACGATATCTATAAAAATATGTACTAGAAAACCTAAACTATACCTAAACTAGCTTCGCATTTGAATAAATTACCTAGGTATAGGTACAGATTATATTCGTGTTACGGAAAGGATATACTTAATGTACATACATATCAAGGGCACGGATTCCTATGGTGATAAGTGATAAAAAACCAATAAGGCAACATTTTTTAATACCTATAATTACCTACATAATTATAAATGTTTGTAAGTGAATTCTAAACGTACACAAATCATTTATTACATAGGTACCTACGTCAGCTGAACGGTGTCAAATAGTGTCAATCAATTAATAATAATCGTCCCCGTAGAGCGAAAACTCATTAAGTCGAAAAATGGCCAAATCGAGTTAATGCTAATAAAACTATATTTTTTTTCTCTATTTAACTGTCTAACCGTCAATTTTGTAGGTATCCTAGTTTCCGATTTACAAAAAGTGAAAATTAAATAAATCTATTCTTTGGTCCTAATAGAAAATAAGAGAAATAACTAAATCATGTTAACTATTTTTTATTTATCAAAAACTTACATAGCTTATAAAAATAAAAGATTTAGTTACTTTTATGTAAACATTTTTAATCCATAGGAAGTGTAGAAGATTTTTTTTATATAAAAGTTGTTAGATTTTATACTATTATAAAACAAAATGACTTTTAACTCATAAGTTTTTTTTCATTATGTATATTTTGTATATCTACCAGTTAGTCGTAAATTACCCAACTCAAGTTATTTATCATAAAAATAAACTCGATCTGAGTGAAAAATCACTAACTAGGGGCGAATATTAACTAATTCATAACTACATCGGATATTCTACAGAGAACAAATAACTAATTGGTTTTTTTAGGTTTTCTCAGTAATAACTTAATCATCACTTTGGGTAGCTAACATCATTTTAACTTAATTTGATTTCCTTCAAAATGAAACTAAAAACATTAAAATATGTCATGACATGCTAAAGTTATGGCAATTTATATATTTCAAAACTTTAAACCTCATTATCTCGAAACAGGTTTTTTGGACTTAATGAATTTTCGCTCTACGGGGACATATATTCATCCAAGAAACAACTCCGTATAACATTTGTTTTTCTGGTATTTTTATTATTATATTGATAGTTTTATGCCACAAAATAACAAATACTTTAACACAAATTAGTTAGTACAAAATCTAAGTAGGTTTTGTAGCTTGGGAAATTGTTTTTTGTTTGTAGTAAAATAAACTTAAGTAGTGCCGCGGCTGCCGGCATCCGTAATTAAGTAACTATGTACCTGCTTAAGTAGAGTACTTTATTTAGCTCACGGTTCAAATGAATGCAGATTCTAAACCAGATACCTACCTACCCTTTCTGTAACACGTAATACAAGGGTACCTATACAAACACCCGTTTGTAGAAATAGAGATTAAAATCGTAAAACAATTTAATAACTACGAACTACTCATCATTATCATCTGCATAATCAGCCGTAGAACGTCCACTGCTGGACAAAGGCCTTCCCACTCGGGGTGTAGTTGCCCATAATTGCCACGCTGAGGACTACGTACTACTAAATAATTTATAAAACTATAAAAAGTAATGTAGATACCTAAGTAAACTCATAAATTTTAAAGTAGGTATTTATGCACACCCTTATTTGCATTGTTTTTTTTCATAAATTTACAAAAATAAAGTACCTACGAGAAACAGGTAATAGGTACTTTACTTTGGTAAATTACTGTAATTATTAATTAGGTACCTAGTATTTACGTAACATATTTTTTTCTTACCTGTCTACTCATTGCAGTGGTTGTTAAAAACCTTGTGATATCTCCACTTTGACTATGACTTGATGTTGGTTTTCTTACAGGAAGAAATATTTGCGATTCCTTCTCGTGAAAAGATAGTAGATGCTTTCTTAAGCCTGAAGTGTTTCTGTTTTTCATTTTTATTTCGACTTTCTTATGTTGGCACAATTTACACATACCCATTTGGGACGCATGAGTTATTTCGAAAAACTCGTCATATTTGCTTTTAAGTCTTTTAGATCTAATTCTGCAACTCTCACTACTCCTACTAGAGCTATTTGAATCTTCGTCACTCATGTCAAATTGTATACATTCACTCCGAAAGCAATAAGGATTTAGAGTACCTAGCTAGGTAAATGGGCGAGAACAATAAATAAGATAGACTCGAAACGAAGCTCAATTGGAAATGACTGAAAATTAATTAAAAATTCATATTTATAAGCACAAGCCGAAGACCGACAAAGAAAAATGCGGCATTCTTTGATAGATAGAATAAATCTTTGAAAGATTAAAAAACAGAAGTATCAGAATCAGAATCAGATAGGTTTTGTGCCTACGCAAAAATAAAGTGTAGATAATTATGCAAATAATATTGTTTATTATGTTCCTTTTTTATTGGAACTAGGCATGTTCCGTTCCGGTACGTTGCCTGCTGTTTTTATGGAGGTTACTCGCTACTAGAGTAGGTACGATAGAAGTTGATAAACCGACACTGCAAATCTCGATTTTTGGAAGTGTGTGATTTTAAAACAAAACTCACGACGTCACTTGGTTTAAGTATTGTCTTGCTCAAGTCTTGCATGCTTCAGTCTTGGTATTGGTCTTGCTACAATAAGGCGGTCTTGGTCTTGCAAAAATGCAAGAACAAGACCAAGACTGCAAGACCAAGACCGATTTTGGGCAACACTATTTAAAAGGCAAATCACAATAACTGAATATGTTGAAACGAATCAACCGACCATCACAATCAACAATGAATCATGAATCATCTACATATGTGGTACTAAATCTCAAGTTAAAACACTGATAATGACAGATTTCTACACACCTGATGAATGCGTGTGCGCATCCAGTGTTCACGGACGTTCGCCTCATACGCCTCAATGTCAGTTCGTGAGCGAACTTTCAAAGTAATTAAAGTATCTTGTTTAATATTTCAAAACAATGTAATAATTACTTGTCTCGATGGCTCATATGGTAAAAGGTGTTGTCTCCGCCTTGGGTTTGATTTTCGAACTAACAACTGTCAACTACCCCGATTTAGTTTTTAAGAAATAAAGTTAGCAATGTGTCTGCCTATGCCACATTTACGGTAGGTACACAGCTCGATTCGTGGACTCAAGACAATCCATTTGCAAATTTTACTTGCTTAGCTCAGGGAAGTGGGTACTATGTGGACAGCCGATAATAATATGAAATGTGTAAGTAAGTAATACCTGGGAAAATAAATGTAAGACTTATTCAATAGGAGGAAGTGAAAAGCGCGTTGACTCTCATGTTATCGAACTAGGAAAAACTTGGAAAGTGTCAGTGAAGGTTTATAAAGTTATGTTAGATTTTATTAAGATATTTATGATCTCATTGCAAATATAAATTGTGTAAAGATCACAAACGCCGTTCGTTTAAATGTATTTGAATAAATATCTGTATACAAAAATACTTTTGGATTAGTATGTACTTTAATGTTATCACTTCTAGTATTTCCTTTTTTTTATTTATTTGTAATTTTGAAAATGCCATTTAGTAATTTCAATTAATATGTTTAACGTATGAAAAGATCCCATGAACCTTACTTTTACACGCTGTACTTAACGATTGTGTACTCTTTTACTAATTTAAAACACCTTTTCATATATTAAAGTTCAGAGCCAAGTGGGCGATCCACTAAAGCCAAATCAGCTACTTCCCACACGATCGCGTCTTAGACGAAGTCGCTGACAGTCGCTTTCACATTCTACTGGAGCCGTAAATTAAAAGTCTTCCGTTTAGGTATTTAGTTTGCGTATATATATAGTTTTATCAATTTTCCATACAAAATAAAATTAATAGCTTTATTAATGATGCAAAATTGAACGCAAAATGAATTACGGGAAATTTGTATTTCAATAATATTCATTTTACGACTATCACTATTGAGTTTACGAGGAACGTAATTAAAATTTTATTTACGACTAGATGACCCCGTGAACTTTGTTTCACCAACATATTATATTTGTGTCAAAACTTTTAAAACAGACCAAAGAGGTCGGCCCTCATACAGCAGTCTACATACTAATACTATGAAACACATATTTTTGAAAGAATCTACAAATATTATGTAAATGACAACCAAGTGACAATTTTTTATTTCTAAAAAGACGTCCCATCTAAGAACAGTTTGTATTGGGAAATTCAATTGTCGTTTTTAGTATTTTTCTTTAATTGTTATTTACGTTTCCCACCGTTTAAACCTTCCCTGATCTTCCACAAATATTTTAAGATCATAATTAGCCAAATCGGTCCAGCCGTTCTCGAGTTTTAGCGAGACTAACGAACAGCAATTCATTTTTATATATATAGATTTATTTTATACATTAAAATCCACGGCTTTGTTAGTGTTGAGTTCGTATACATATATAATTCAGATTCATTGCTATTAAATTTGTAACATAGTGAGTTAAAATCTTCTTTAATTTATAGCAAGACTATATATTAAAGAATATATAACTAACGTAACATGAAGGTACTCCTAAAATGTAACCCTATTCACTAATACATAATTTCTATTGACCATATTATGTTAACTGAGGTACTTATTCGTCTGTTCCTGGCAAATTGTGATGTGTGTATCTAACTCACCGGCGCTTTGGTTCACATGCTGTTCTTAAAACGAGTTGTGAATGTGACAATTCTAGCTGTTTCCTTTAATATTATTGATAAATGAAAGTATGGCAAGTCGCATATATACTGTATATAGCTTGCGCAGAAATTACCTAACACAGCTCAATATAACAGTATTATGAAATTTGTTTTAAATTATTAAAACAGGGGGTTTTTCTCTTAATTGTTTAATAATAAAGACCAGCGCTCGTATTCTGTAATATCCAATACCTTATATTGAGACAATTAGATCGAACATACATATAAAATAATCGGTATCACTATCGTTATTGGAAGTTACAGAGTAAAGGCTCTGTTAGTATTGAAAACGTGAAATGTTCATCTGTGTTTCAATTATCTACTAACACGATAAACGTTTTTCGCTTTTTGTGAATTTTAAGGATTAAGAAACGCGGGATTAATCGAGTGATTGGATTTATTTATGTCGTGTCTGGATCGTAATTCTCATAATTTTATGAAATATTTAAGCATTTAATAAAATATAACTAAATTAAATGAAGGTATTTTTTCTCAGTGATAGTCCGTAGTCAGTCTTCACTAGAGTTTGAAGTGTGTATAATCTTGCCTACGACGCAATTTTAGATTTTCAGTATAATTTATGCAGATCACATGCCCTTGTCATGTTAAATAGTTTCTCTGCGTTGAAAGCGTCGCCCCCATTGTGTATTGTAATTGACACTTTGACAATAATCACTTTCCAGTCCCATAATATGTGATATCCAGTGAAAGTGTGAAAGTGTAATTGATTAAACATGTGTAATAAGGTGGGTTATATAATTTTAACTGCACTAATTAAAAGTTTAACTTGAGTTGCGGTTTCATAGAAAATTTTGCTAGGGCGACCTATTCGCTTTTTTAAGGTTAATTTAAAACCCAGATTCATTAAATTGTCCTAATTTAGTAATAGAATAATTTAATTAGGATTAATAATGAAGATAATTTGATATACCTTAATAACCTAAATGTGTTCTTATGGTAACCTTTTTTTTATTTGAAATCTGAACCTAAGCTTTATAATTTATTCGTAACAAACATACAAAAATACCTCTTTATAAGATTAGTAATATCTCTGATCTTAATTGACGTAATTTTTCTTGAATTTCGCTCCTAATCTGTAGGTTGTATTTGCATACAGTATGCAATGTATGTTGTACCTACTTGTATTTGCAAGTATATAAGTATTTTTCCATACGAATCCCAAGATGATAAATATGTATATAAATATATTCAAATATACTACTTTTAAATATTTTATCAAAAGCCATGCAATCAATTACGATTTAACACTTTTCAGTAATAATTGTGCTAGATCCGACGGCACATGGGGAAAAATGTATCCAGCCCTGTCGAGAGTGCAACAAAATATTTAAACCAGTTTGAAGTTAATTTAATTAGACCACCAATTAATTTACACGTTTAGTCGTTAGTTTAGTAGGTACTTAAAACACATTAAACATGCTGATTTTGTTTGTTCTGTGTAAATCACATCACATCATAATTATTAATAACTATATAGTTCTAATTCTAAATTAAATCCGTTGATTTTTCATTAGAATTAGAACGTCAACGGTTATTGACAAGGATAAAGGACAGCTTTGTTTATACGCCACAAAAACTCGACCAACTTTTTACGATCGCTCCAGATTACATTATCTTAAGCCAGGTGCAAAACCTGTTTCACTTTTGCAATCGGAACCTTCGAATATTGCAATTATATAATTATTTTTTCAACATTTAAGGGTTATTGTAATCCACGGACATGCGTATTCGAGCGAGACAGCGAGCTACTGTTTTTGTCGGCGGTCTACCGTCTATGCCAGTTGCGCCCCGGCCGTCGCGTGTGTCAGTTGTTTGTACACATATCAAATTTCAACACGAAATTTTGATTTTGTCGTCGCATTGTGAAGTGTATCGTGCTTTTATTGGTAATTGCATTTATTTTGTGCTTGTTATGTTATAGTGTTTTAGTTGTGATTTACGTTTTGCAACGGTTTATAGTACGTATTATTATTTTTTATATGTAACTTAGATATATACGAATGTCCTTAATGTTATCATCAACACAGTTTTATCATTGATAAGTCTTATCGAATATTTATTATTTAAGTAATGGTTTTGCGTTGCACGACTGTAGATCGAGTCCTTAGAATGCATTTATGATTTATGAATTACTTATCAGTAGTTTCGATGCATTAACTCTTTAGTTGAGTGTAGCAGTAATAATATTGTACATAATGCGACTAGACGTTATAAAATGGTATATTATTTGGTTGCTATCTTACCTTTAACACCTCAAATCCAGCCATTATATTATCTTATTACTATTGAAACTTCTTTACTAATTACAACAATTATTGTAAATTAAAACTAGATATCATATCTTCGTAAATTTCACTGCGCATACCTTATATTCTATC